TCACTCTGTACCCTGCCTTATAAGGCCGTGGTCTTACACAGAAATATTAAACTGATGTGCCTTTCCAGCGTCGCCCCGTTCTTAGGTCAACATTCAAAACCGTGACAGAAGAGGCTCCGAACGTACCTGGAAAACATGGCAGCATTCTCAAGGGGTTCGGTAAAGCTGAGCAAATTATAGGGCACTGTCTTTCGAGCGAAGAGGTGGTTAGGACGAGAAACACGAGACGGACTTGAGCAGGTGGTACGGTACAGGAAGCTAGAAAATTTTGTATTCAGTTAGAGAAGACTTAATTCCTCCTTTGTTTTCATTGTTATATATTAGATGTGGAGGCAGGCAAGCACCTCTGAAACGTCGTTAAACTTCTGCGAAACTACGAGAGCACCTCTGAAACGTCGTTAAGCTTCTGCGAAACTACGAAGCGTAATATTCCAGAAGGCAGTCATGTAAATTCTCGTCTTTGTGAGAACCAGAAAACCTAAACTTATTTTCGTTTTGCTATCATAAGTGGTAGATTGCTTCCAGAAATGAGGAATGGTGTAAATATGAGTGGTTACTAGCAGCCGATGAAGGGAGATCCTTCACTTCAACTTTGGGTTGCACCAACATGAGACTACATGACGGTACAACTCAGAAAACAGCCTTCTTCATCTGTATTGAGATTTTTACACAGGACCTTAGGTCTTTGGGCTCTTGTTAACACGGTGAGGAAACTCGATTAGTTCAGTGACCATTAGATCCTCTGCTGTCTGTTGTTAATCATAAATGGCAGAAAGCTTAGTCTGAGTTGCGCTGTGAGTGACATCCTATAGCGGATGAGGCAGGTAGAATGACGGAGGAAGGAACGTGCAGAAGAAAACCATCAACAACTGTTAACCTTTCAGGCAGGTAAAGGAATAAAACATGCAGTGGATAATCCAACCAGACTACACAACACACTGAAAAAATTGCCATTGGTTTCATTTTGCATTGCTGTGGAACGTCATTGCTAGTTTCATGAGGTTTTCTTTAACGATGTATCTTACTTCAGTGCGAGACTAATGCAATAGGAAGAGAACTGAAAAAACCGGCTATCAATCATTGTGGATTTGTAGCGGTCTTGAGGCTTTCTTGGCGGTCTGTATTTAATGTTGTTCTTATTCTTGGACTGTACCACCGTATTTGTTTACTTAGCTTTGATGGTGGAGACAGTTAAGTTCTCCAAAACGTCTGTATAGTAGCCCAACATGACACCATGTCATCACCAAGCATATTGCCTTGAATATGATTACGTTTTGGCCGAAACGTCGGGATATCAGTCCTTAACTAGTTATACTGACGAAGCTCTGTCTGTTCCTACATTGATTTAATAGCTCATACCACTGATGTTAAGGACAGGGGAAAATATCCTTCTACAAATCAACAACTGTGCGTAAGAATTACAGCAAGAAGGGCACTGAACTGCAGGGATTTTTCCTCGTAGTTCAAAATATTGTCTTCCGCGTCTTTCGTCTAAAATGGCTCTGATTAAAATGTATAGAGCTCAGATTTTACCTGTTGTTTTGTATGAGTATAAACTTTGGTATAAAACCATGAAGAGTATATAAGTTTGGGGAATTTATGAAAAGATGCTGGGAAGATAATTTTTAACAAAAAAATTCTAAGAATATGGAAGAAATTAACACAATTTTCATATTGTTTACGTTTTTCGCAATGTTATGGTGGAAATGGAACGGGGTGGATTAAAATGCATATAAAATTACAGGCACAATACTTGAATAGATAGACAACTTGCTAGACCTAGACCTAGATGGAAAGATACTGTCTTAAAGAATTTGTATCTTAAGTGCGTCATGTTTGTGTTGAATCAAATACATATATTTATTTTCACAGTCTATACACAAACTTATTTAAAATAATGTTGTTAAAATATTATAACATTTACAGTATAAAGTATATTATGTTATATTTATGGCGCTCCTTTATCGTAGTACGACATTACATTATTCAGCGCTTTTATTTTTGAACGACATGTTTCGATGTTTTATGACATCATCTTCAGGTTTATCAATCTATATTATTTTAAAAAGTATTATACATTTTGATGCATTGCATTTATTGATCTTTTAGTATGTTTGTAGAATTTTCTGTCTTCATAATATATATATATGTATTTGTCTTAAAGAAATTTGATCGGAGGATATAGACTGCCTCAGTGTGGATCAGAACAGGGTACAGATGCTGACTTCTGAAATATATAATGAATCTTAGGGTCCCATATAAGACGGGATTTTTTTTAACTGACTGACATCAGTAGCTACCCTGGAAGGACTCTCCTCCATGGAGGTAGTTATAAATACATGCAACTGTATTACCATATCCGAACATTTATCACCGGAACGTAAGTCTTTGTAACACACGCCTTTGACCTCTTGACGCAAGGGAACTTTAGCTTTAGGAGAGAACACAGAAGTCGATTTACTCTTACTTCATTTACATCAGGAAATTTACCCGCCGACCCCTGAACCCTGTAATGTATTTCTTTTCAAGATTTAGTGAAACAGGTTATACCTTTGAGGTTGAAATATAAAGAAAGCAAATGCCCTTTTCTAGCCGTCTGTGTGCCGACAGAATCTTTTCTGTATTATTTTCCTTCGTTAACCTGTTTGTCTACCCAGGGTTATGAAGTAACCCTCATATTATCATGATTATATTCCCTCATACTCCAACCTTCGCTGCACTCACAAAACCTATATTTAGTTCCCTACTCCTGAGCGCGTTTTTATAACTCGTCATTTTTAAGTATGAGATTTGGTTTTTTTAGATCATGGGAACGAGTTTAGATGGGATGTGAAAACATACATCATGCCTGCGTTATGATTATGATTGATTGTTCTAAAAGTAACTCTCAACAACTTTAAGTCATGAAAGGATAGAATAAAGATTGCGGGCGGATCAAAAGAGAATGATTTTAAGGTTCAGTTTTGAGTAGTATTGGTTATTTGGAAGTAAATAATGATACACCTACAATTTCTGTTTTCTGAGAAATTTATTGTTGTTGCAAGTTTTTGCGGTTTAAAATTGGTGGAAATTATATTTCCTTTTCCTTGGTAATTATCCTTAGATGGTGTTCTAGACCAATCTTTAACTGCTCCTTATTTTCACAAGAATTTGTGGGTTACATTGCTTACCTTTTCGTTGTTGCCACACCAACGATTAACGCATAAACATAGTCATTACACTAACCGAGTTTTTTTTTCCCTTTCTGGACGCAACAAAATTATTTGAAGTTTTAATCCTACGAATCTTGCTTGTGCTAGTTGTGGCTTAGAAGTTGTTTTATGTTTGAATATTAAAGGAAATTATATTTTTATTACGTAAGTATTATTCTGAGACAGGCCAATTTGTAAGCTTCCATTGTTTCTATAACAATTTGTGAATGAAGTTTTAGACTAAGTTATCCTAATTATCCCAATTGAATAAAATTTTTCTTGGATATTATCCATCGTCTAGTAAATATAAAACGTAAAACGACGTTTCGGAGATGGGACTCTATCTCCGTCTTCAGGTTCCTACACAGTTGGTCCGGAAATAGCGATTAGCTCTATCTAGTGGGCCCAACTGTGTAGGAACCTGAAGACGGAGATGGAGTCCCATCTCCGAAACGTCGTTTCACGCTTTATATTTACTAGACGATGGATAATATCCAAGAAAATTTTTATTCAATTGACTCTTCACCATCGTCAAGAAGTTTTAGATCTAATTATCCCAGTTGGCTTCATATTTATTGTCTGGGTGCAAGTTTAGAAATTAACATACAGATGTATCTAATCATTACAGTAACTGACTTTTCTTTTATTTTCAGATGGCTGTACTACTTCTTGCCATGAAGAAGACTTGGGCATGTTAATGTTTCGGCTGAGGTGAATTGTGGTTTACAAGTAAAACGCTGGTGTACACACTGTGCAAATGCATACAGAACACACGTAGTATCATTTCAAGTAGTGGCGATTCTGGCTTGTGTCTCGGGGTAAATTTATCAAGATGGCTGCACTACCACCTAGATCATGTGCGTGCTATGCGGTAAAAGTGCTCATAATTCTCGCCGTAACACCATACGCAGCTTTGGAAGGTAAGTTGTTCTAAATGATTCCGTAGTGCTTTGTAGAAGTAGAATCTTTGAAAAAGTTTTTCAGCTATTCAAAATTTGATAATGTATATCAAAAACTTTAACATCTATACTGCTTAAGTGTCACGATTACATTTATTTTGCTTGTAAGTCGTAATTATAATTCCAAATATTACCACATTCTCCATAAACCAATAAGGAAATTCATGGGACTCGAAAGTGTTTTGACAGTTTTAAGCACTGTATGTAATGTAACCGAAGAACACAGTGTGGCGGTAAAACCACAATGTCCATCACCTTTGGCATCAAAATCTCGTTTCACACGATCCTCGGCCAGCTTCATCCAACTAATATTTCTTCCTTGGAACAGCGATATTTTACTTTTTTCTGCCCATGTGATTTAGTTCCGTACCGATTATTCCCAGATTTTATCTGCGAAGAAATATTTTATGTCGCAGCAAGAAATTATTTAAACTATGTCGTCGGCAAAATATGAATAAAATTGTTGAAAGGAGGGGAATAAAAATGAAGCATTGAAACATGTACTGTTCGCAAACAGAGTAGTGCGAAAATGTAGTTTGATTTTCTGGTTTATCATTTGGATTAATTCTGCAGTAATATCTCGAATGTTCAGAGACCTTTCCCTTTGAAACATATGTAAACTTTTCTAAAACGAAGAACATCTAAGTCTGTCTGTCTGGAAGCATGGTTTGTTGTATGTCGTGTTTATTTTGTGTCAGCGGTATTGAGTACGCAAAGGCTCCTAAATAGGACAAACATTGGCGGTGCTGTTTTTGGCGGAAGTTTTTTTTTTAAGGGCAGATGAACATTTCCTCTGGTTCTCGGACCAACTGTTGTGTGTCCTTGCCAGTCTACTCGTTACCGACGTCACAGACAACTTGACAACTCTGCCTTGCACTTTTGTGACCTGCAGACAGAGATGGGGCATGCTTTCTGTCTCGAAGGTATGCCCCGTGCAACTTCCTTCGTGACAATGACCCAGACTCCAAACTCGGTTTCTGGAAACTTGGCGCATTAGAAAGCCGATGTCAGATGCATACATATGACATAACAAAAGGAACAGTGCTATTATAATGAAAGTTGTGGAATATTTAGGACCGAGACAGGAACTAGCAGGAAGGCGGATGCAAGTCCAAATATTATTGTACTGATAAAATCAAGCAAAATGAAATGGGCGTGGCATGTAGCGGTTTATGCACACACATTGTTAGTCGGAAAACCTGAAGTGAAGGGATTTCTTGGTAGACCTGGGTGCGCAGTGACCGGGATCAAAGTGTGCGTTTCTCCTACGTCACTACCTTGCGGGAAGAATAAAAAATACACATGTAATGGGTAAACCAAAGACATTATCGGCACAGGAATTGAGCCAGCTAGTTAAAAATCACTGCTGCTGGGAAATAATATTTGAGTATTGACAGTATATTCTTCATTATCTGCTACCTCTCCCACTCTGATCTCCATACCGTTTAACCCCGACGGAACGCACGGATTCGTCCCGAATAAGATAATATTTTAATGTATTTTAAAGAAGTCAGGTGCGATGATGTGGAGTGGATTCAGCAGGCTGAAGGGAAACGATAAGCTGTAGAATATTGTGAACAGGATCATGAAACTTTGATTATAGTAAAATGCGAGGTGCTTCTTGATTAGCTGAACTGTTATGTGGTCCTTAAGAACGACTCTGCTCTACGGAAATAGTTAAAAGCAAAAACCTAAACGAAAAAATATGTTGACTATATATTCCCGCCAAATACACGACCCCACTAATCAAGGAACATTCATTTCATCACCTAGAACTAGCCTGCTTAGTACTCACATAGAGTCCTAGTTAGAATGACTTGAGTTTACGATTATGTTTAGAGCCGCTGCGACGTTTACTGTACCCACTTCAGTTTTACTGAAATGATTGAAGCTCGCTACAGGATAAACATAATGCCCCAGTCATCCTTTATATAGATTACACGCACTACAATATGTCTCTTGAGTGTGGCTATCATCGCTAATGGTATAGAAGGATTTGAGGTTTTCACGACAGTGGGTCTGAAGATGGCTTTCTGTCTTCTGGCTTGTTGCGCCGTGTCTGGTACACGTTTCGCAACGTTTCAGAGGTCCTTGCTGCGATGAGACAGCAAGGACCTCTGAAAAGTTGTAAACATCTACCAGGCTACATAGCGCCACAGCCCAGAAAGCAGTCATGTTTTGTCGTGTATGCACAGTTTTGTATTTACGAGTTAAGGAAATATAGAAGAATGCTATACGTGTCCAGAAAACATTTTAAATAACAAACCGAAGTTAATATGTCACGCACATAATACGAGGTGCGATCGGAAAGTTTCAAGACTGCGCGTATAAAAACCCGTACACTTATCTCAGGTATTAAATTCATCCATCACCCTCGAAGTAGTTCCCCTGGGAGTGAATACAACGATCCCAGCGCCGCTGCCAAGCCTGGAAGCATCCCTGGAAATCTTTCTTTGTCAGCCTGTCAAGCACCATCTGCGATTCTGCCTGAATCTCTTCTATCGTCTCAAATATCCTTCCCTTTAGCTGAATTTTCATCTTTGGGAAGAGGAAGAAGTCACACGGCGAATAAGGAGGGTGCGGGATGACGGCCATGGTGTTTGAGGCCAAAAACTGCC